AGGGCAATCAATAAATTAGGAAATTTTAAACACTGTGGGCAGCAAAAAACTGTGTAAAACGTCTAAGGCAGAAAATGTGCGAAGGGGATGTGTAAACAGGGAGCCGGTGCTACCACGGCAGGGTCAGGTTCACCACATGCTCTAGTTTTTTACATAGGTCAGATTTAAATCACCGTATGCATGCTGTTTCCAGGTAGCGTAAGAAACGAGTTGTTCCTGCCTGAAAAAGTACTCGGAAGGATGTTTTACGGTCAAAAGAATGACCCGTATCCAATAGGTGTTCCGTAATGGAAGAATGATGAGTTCTCTTCTCCTGTCTTAATGGCCAACTCGGCAAGTGCTCCTTAGCTCTGGTTGCCGACTGCCTTTTTGTTCGCCCTAAGTACTTGCATCCACAAGTGCATATAAATTCATAAACGCAATTTAATGTGGCGTACAACGGCAAGGCATCTTTCCCATCTTTTTGCCTTATATGTTTTTGCCTGAGACGCTTTTACACCGTTTTTGCTGCCCACAGTTTTTGAATTTCCTACTTCATTGATTGTTCTTTGGCCAACTCTATTAACCTTGATGTTTTTGTATAGATTTTTCTGTTTGAATTCAATTCTGTAATTTCTCATCCCTTACTCAGTTAATGCAGCGAGTGGATGCAGCTGATGAGCGCTCGCAAAATTTATGAATCCATTAAATTCTGCTGCAAATACTTATGCAGGCCAGATGTCTTGGGAAGTCACATTATCTGCCACGTAATTCCCCTTGTGAAGAATGCTTCAAAACAAAACTGCGAATAAGCTGCACAATAATCCGTAAAGTAGTATATCAGCCATTCATTTCAATTGCAGGCCATTCAATGAAGACGTTGTATGTCATATCAGGAGCGTATTATCTAATTGCCATGATGTCCAATTGTTCACATAATATCAAAAATGTTGCAGCTTTTTTGGTTGACATGGAGAGATAGCAAAACAGTTAAGCAAAATATTAAGAAGAAACATAGGCATGAGCATTTTAACAAATCTTGAAAGGTCCAACAAATCCGATAGAATTTATTTTAACTAAATAATGTCGATAGTAAGAAGACGTGATTTGCGTAAAAATGGTGACTGCGCCTTTCGGAGACGGTAAATGACAACATATTTGTAAACTAAACGCCTCATAGTTATATATATAGAGTATGGCGAGCGTTGAATGCAAGAGTTATGACGATCAGTATCTTGGTAGCTCAGAATTTATTTAGTCACGTCATT